TTGGGGAGCTGGCATAGGTGGTGCTCCAGCCCCCCCTGCTGCCTTACTGCAAGGCTGCAGACTGGGACTTCCTAGGCTGTAACATGCAAGGGGAATATCTTTCTCCTTTTTTAAAAAAATTATGTTGGCTTCTTACTTGTGTTCAGCTCTGGACTGATTTTTCTATGGATCAGTGACCTATAATGCAAAAAAGGTTTCCCACCCGTTACAGAGCACTACCAATTTCATGGCCATGAAAAACTGTGTCTCAGACTGTGAAGTATGCCCTTTCCATGAAATCCTTTTCCCTGTGCTGCTGGGAGCACTCTAGCTGGGGCTTCTAGCTGCTAGACTGAGCCAGACTGCAGAGGGACAGAACTTATCCTTCCCCTACATGGCTGCTCTCAGCGGGGAGAGCAGACACACTTCGGCTGTGTCTAGACTGGCAAGTTTTTCTGCAAAAGCAGCTGCAAGGAGCTCAGTGGTTAATGCCTTCATAGCAGTTCTGAAAGCAACACAGAAATGAGGGTGGAAATCCTATGTCCCCTCCTCCCACTTCATGATACCCTTTTGAGTGAGGTCCCCCACCTCTATTATAACACTTTGAAATTTCAAATGTACACATCTGATATCTTGACACTGACTAGTTGTAAAAGCCCCATGACCATGAGATAGACCACAAAAGATTAGGATCATGAATTTGGTAGCCCCCGGCTAGTGCTGAGTTATTCACATGCAGCAGCTCAAAGCAGCAATGCTCCAAGAGGACAGCAGGACTGTCCCTCACAATCATCAAGTGGGTTCTTTTCATAAGAACGTAAGAAAGGCCATACTGGGTCAGACCAAAGGTCCATCCAGCCCAGTATCCTGTCTGCCGACAGTGGCCAATACCAGGTGCCCCAGAGGGAGTGAACCGAACAGGTAATGATCAAGCCATCTCTCTCCTCCCATCCAGCTCCTCCCTCTGACAAACAGAGGCTAGGGACACCATTCCTTACCCATCCTGGCTGAAAGCCATTGATGGACTTAACCTCCATGACTTTATCTAGTTCTCTTTTAAACCCTGTTATAGTCCTAGCCTTCACAACCTCCTCAGGCAAGGAGTTCCACAGGTTGACAGTGCGCTGTGTGAAGAACTTCCTGTTATTTGTCCTAAACCTGTTGCCCATTTCATTGGGTACCTGAGCTGCTGGGAGGCAGCTGCTTTGTGTCGTTTCCAAGCTCTTCCCTCCCACAGGGAGGG